TGGCTCTTTTTCCAAAAGAACTTCCCAGTGGGCTCCGGCAGAACCCGCCGGCCACCCGGAATTTCCCCAAACGTGCTCAACGACCGCAAACAATCCTCCAAGAACGGCCGTTTCGCTCGGGACATCCTCAAAAAATCGCGAAGATGGCCCAAGATGGCCTCCAAGTCCGCCCGAGATGGTCCAAGACGGCCTCCAAAACGGCCCAAGAGAGTCCAAGACGGCCCAAGACGGCCCAAGAGGCCCCCCAGAGGCCTCCCAGACGGCCCAAGAGGCCTCCAAGAGGTCCTCCAGGAGAGTCCGAAGAGGCCAAAATCATTGATTTTCCATTGGTTTTTGAAGGATTTTGGCATTTGCGCCTTTTCGGCTCTCCGACGGCTCAAGACGGCCCAAGAAGCCCCCAAGATCGCCCAAGAGGCCCCCAAGAGAGCCCCCTGATGGCCCAAGTGGCCTCCAAGATGGCCCCTAGAGGGCCCCAAGAGGGCCCAAGAGGCCTCCAACACGCCCAAGATGGCCTCCAAGACGCCCAAGATGGCCTCCAAGACGGCCCTGGAGCGCCCCAAGAGGGTCCCCCGTTGGCCCAGAAAGGCCCCCAAAACGGCTCCCGACGGCGTCAGACGTGCCAGGAACCCACCAAGATGGCCGAAGTTGGCTCGAAGCTGGCCCAAAAGGGCCCAAGAGGCCCCCAAGAGGGCCTCCAGGAAGGCCAAAAGATGCCAAAATCACTGATTTTCCAAAGGTTTTTGATGGATTTGGGCATTTCCCTTTTTTCGGCCTTCCGACGGCCCGAGACGGCCCAAGAGCCCCCAAAGATCGCCGAAAGATCGCCCAAGAGGCCTCCAAGACGGCGACGATGACCATCAAGACGCCCACGTGTTCCCCGAAGGCTTCCCAAACCGATTCGGGGAACACATGGTCCGATGGCTTGGCAGGTCTGGCCTCAACGTTCGGCCACATAGGCGCTTCCACAAAGGCAGGGGGCGGCGGTGATTCGCCGTAGGCGTCTTCGATAGATGGTACGCTGTCCCAGGCAATCGCATGGGCCATACCTGGCACTCACACAACTCTACCAAAAAAATGTGCCTCGAGAGCTGGTGCGGGATACGAGGCGTGAGGGGTTGATACAGAGACGTACGTGAACATACAGAGAGGACAGAAGAAGGATTGCTTTCGAACCAGTTGTGAACCCGATTGAATACGTGGCTCCTGTGCGCAAGGAAGGTCAGAACATCGTGCAACGCAAAACCTATTCTGAATACATGTCGCAAAGGCCCTAGATGCACGTCTTAATTAAACAAAGCTCCACTCAGATGTGCACTGCGTAAACGAGTGGTCTCAGTCCCAGGCGCGCTCAGCCAAAGCAGACTCATACCTGATGACGCTCGCGTTGTCGAGAGCGGAGCCGTGCGAGAAGCGAACGGCAAGACCGCGCCCGGTGAGGGCTGGCAATCCATGACTCATCTTGCAGTATTGGGGCCACCACCGCGAGCCGCAGAGAACCGTCGCGTGCGGCGGCCGCAGACACGTTATGTATCCAGTTCTCGGCAGGCTCCAGCGGCAGGGCCGCCCCATTCCTGTAGCTCGGCCCCGCGGCGAGCGGCGGGACAGCTGTAGTCAAGGCGAAGCGAGGCGCAGGATAAGACTGCGGGAGGGAAGAGGGGGAGAACAGGAGGCCAGCAAGACAACCAGCGAGCTTCAAGAGGACAAGCAAAAGCAACTTATTGCCAAGTCTTGTGCTTGAATCGCTATGCTGCAAGCCGTCCTACCACCGCCCTCCAACTCTGCGCGAATCGACTCACTGGCAAACAAACCGTGCCACCCTCTGCGTCGCCCCTGGCTGTCAAGCTGTGCTACCGCGACCCCGGGCCCCTAACGATGTTCCGCGCTGCGTCATGAAAGTCACTGCAGCATGTATCTCAAGGGGCCCTGGACTGACATCTCCAGGCGCTCCTGTGTGTTCCATGGGCGCGTCGCGTGACTTTTCCCAGAATAGGAACAAACCATTGATAACACGTTGATGCATACGAAGGGGATCAGGGACACACACACACAGATAAGGAGGCACAAACAACAGGATTCCCCATATGTTCCCATGTGTTCTGGGTTCTCGTCTTCCCCCTCCCAATTCCCATATTTCACAATATTTCTGGGGAATCGACGATGAATTGTGTCTGTGTTGTTGTTTCCCTCCTGACATGCGCAGTTTTGACTCCAAGAGGCCCCCAGAGAGGTCCGCGGAGGCGCCGAGCAGGCCCCGGGAGGCCTCTCTCCAGAGAGGCCCCCACGAGGTCTTCAAGGTGACTCCAAGAGTTTAAGTCGGGCGTGTCCCCCTACAGGCGGATCTTGGACGACATTTATTTTGTGCACCTCGCAAATTCCCCACTAATGGACGAACAAATAGTCGAAACATCGTGCCCCGACTAGTTTTGTTTTCATATGTTTGACTGTTCCTCCTGTAGGGGGACGGGCCCGACTTAACCCAAGAGCCATCCTGAGAGACTATGCTTTTCCACATGTTCTGGGTGTTTGTCTTCCCACCCACTTCCCATATGTTCTGGGTTCTTGTCTTCTTCCATCATTTCTGGGGTATCGACGACGAATTGCGTCTGTGTATTATTTCCCATCCCTCCTGAACCCTGGGAGATCGCACGAGGAACCCAAGAGGAGACTGGCCCACGACCGAGGGCACGGCGGTGGTGGGGGCTGCTGGGCCCGCCATCCCCGACATGCCCCATGAAAACCGACGTTGACGAATAGCCAGCGTCTTTGATATAGCATCAAGTCTGGGTTCATCAAGTTTCGGGTGCCATGCTGTTCCGGTTTCATCAAGTCTGGGTTCACTCTTTCGTTGTCGATCGAGGGTGCTGTCTCAACGGAAACTTCTGACGCTGCTGGACCGATTGGCCTGCATGAACGTCTGCAGCTAATCTGGATGTTGAGATCAAGTCGAAAAAACAAACATTTGTCCGAAAGAGCTGAAGAGTCTGAGCAGTTTTTCGGCCAGAACTCGAGCAACACACCAATCTCAGGCGTCCCCTCCAGACGGCCGAAGAGAACCTTTACTTCGGCGTACCCTTCACCTACTGTACGGCCGATGGACCCCACAAGACCTTCTGCTGCCTCTCTTATAGCCGCCCGCCGCCCGCAAGGGACGCCAACAGGACCCTCAGCAAACTTGCAACGAGTGGCGCCGACCCTCGTCGAAGCCATACCCCGAACACCCACTGACTGTAGAATCTGCTGCGTGCGAATTTACCTTTGGGAGTTGCCGTGACTCCCGCTCTGCGGGCTCAGTAAGTAAGAAATGAGATTCCTCAAGTTGCACGATTGCCTTCGCGTTCTCTTCTGTTCAGACGTCCGAAAGCCCAAGACGGCCCCACAAGTACCCAAGATCGCGCCAAGACAGGCCGATCTGGCCCCAAGAAGGCCCCGAGACAACACCAAGCTGGCCCACGAGGGATCCAAGACTGTCTCCGACGATGCCCGACGACCCGCAAGCCCCCTAAGATGGTCCAAGAGAGCCCCCACGTGGCCCTGAAGAGCCCCAAGAGGCCCAACAAGAAGGCTCGGATGGTCCGAAAGGATGACCGCAGAATGCCTCTCCCGAGTGTTCCCCGAGGACCGCGTTTTTCTGACTCATGGCGAGAACGCGCGTGATGGGAGTGACGAGGAGGAGGAGGAGGAGGAGGAGGAGGAGGAGGAGGAGTATAACGTGACTCCACCCCCTACAGTGGGCCCGTGCGCCACCAGAGCGCTCGCGCGTACCCCCGCACACACACACACACACACACACACACACACACACACCCCTGGTCGGCCCTGGCGCCACCGAAGCGCTCGCGCGCACCTGGGCCCTGTCGACGACGACGACGACGAAACGAAAACGGCCACTACGACTGGGCGGCGACGACGGCGACAATGCAGACGACGACGACGACGACGACGACGACGACGACGACGACGACGACGACAATGACGACGACGACGACGACGACGACGACGACGACGACGACGACGACCAACCTGCGACCAAGCCACCTTTTGGGGGGGGCTTCTTTGCACACTAACTCCTGGAATACGCTACCACACCAGGGGCCGGTAACTATTCACCAACACACACCCACGCACAACTTGGGTGTCCAGAGCATCGGCGGATGTGCACCTTGTCTCTCCCGACCTTCCCGTCCTCCCCGAAGGGCCAGCAAAAAGCGCATCGGGCCCTGAATGCATCCATTACCTAGACAAGACCAGCATGAGCGGCATGAAGAAACAGGTCCTGGCAGAAGCGGGTCCTGGATCCAGAGCTTTCCCTGGGACCAGCTTTTCAGCTATAGCCACTTGTTTGACAGCCCCGTGGCCCAGGGAGGGCCCTGGAATCGGGGGCAACGAAAGGGGGGGACAGCCAAGGGTAGGGGAGATAATCAGCTCCCGTTGCTGATTTTCCCAGCGCCTCGCGGCGCCGGGAGGCGCCCATGTATCGAGGAATGGGCCCAGCGGCGGGGCCGAAACCAGCTGCGTGCAGCAGATTTCGTAACCCCCCCTTTCCCTATCCCCCCTTTCGTTCGACCCGATGGGAGCCCGATAACAGCGAGAACCCTTGCCTCCAGGAACCCTGCCCTCCATGCTGGCATGAACTGGGCATAACGAATTGAGCAGGGACCGACCGTCCTGGCATTCCGATGGGCCTACCACGAACGTTGCAAGAAGAAAAGAAATGTTCGAAGAACAGAAAATGGCTGCATGAAACCAAGACTGTCTCAGCCAGAAATGCTCTAAAAACCTTTCTCGCCAAACCACAACAAGTTCTTGGAACCGTATTTTTTGGGCCTATGGGCAAACCAGGACGCTTGGCCACTGCTCGAACGAAAGGCCGCCTGGTATTTGCCGGGGATGCCAGATCGCAAATGACTGCCCATTATGTGCAGGGCTCTGGGCGCCCGCGCGGGAGGCGTACGGCATACGGCGCGCCCCGCGCGCAGACCCCCTGCGGCGGCCCACTGCCGCTATGGGGCCTCCGCTCCTGTCGGGGAGACGTAAGATTAGGTCGGGCATGTCCCCCTACAGAGGGATTTTATTAGAACAATCGGAACTAGTCAAAAAATACCCCCAAGTGGCAAAGAAATACTAAAAAAAATCCCCCCAAGACTGTTTTCTGACTATATTTGAATATTCCTCCTGCACAGGGACAGGCCCGACTTAAACGTAAGACTCGGGTTGGGGGGGGCTCAGGTTGGCCCGACGTGGCCGTCATGAAAATGATGTGACCCAGTCTGAAATCTGACGCGGGCTCCCGCCGCAAACATCCCACGAAAACGCGACCTCCAAACTTCAGAACGGCCTCGTCAAGAAGCGTAGGCGAACCCGAATTTCGGCGCACTCGGGTCTCACGTTTCCCCGATCCTGTCGCCGAAAGGGGGGTCCCAAATGGCCAAGATTCAAGCGCCCGAAATGGGCACGGAAAAAAGCGGCACGACGCCCCATAACAGGGTTGTCCAATACCGACGGCGGCCCCTGCCCGGCAGGCGGCCCTCTGCCTCACAGGGGCAACGCCCGCGGCGACACCGACAGCGAGCCCTGCTCAAAAAGGAACTGCTGGGCACCGTTCCCGGACTGCTCGCGACAGCGGCCGTTGCGGGCCCTGGCCGCCCCCACCCCCCCCCGAGGTCACGTCACGCTTTGGCGCCAGCGCCAAACGTGACGTCACCGCCCCCCGCCCCCCTCCCTAAAACACGGCTAGGATCGGGATAAATCGCTCCAGAGCGTGCCGGAGCGCTCTCAGAGCGTTCCGGAACGCTCTGGAGCGGCCGCGGCGCCCAATAAATCCTCCAACCCCGCCGATCCTCAGAGATTTCGAGTCATCCCGATCCGATTTTGTCCCGATCTTCGCGTCGTTTTACCCCCTCCCCCTTCCACCTCTGGCGACGCCCTCGACCGCCTGGGGATCTAAAAACCGCTCTCCTGCCGCCGGCCTTCGTGCCCGCTCTTAATTGCGCACCCCCGGGCGGTCGTTCCGACCGCAGGAGCCAGGGGGGCACGCACGCCCAGACGGCCCGGAAGCTGCGGGGCAGCAGCTCGGCTGCTCGGCATTCTCCAGACCAATCCCGTGGTGCGCTCTGACCAGAATGTCGAGGCGAATCCAGCGGTGACGACGAGAGCCTCCCAGGAGGCCGAAGAAAGGGGCAAGCGAGGGAAGGATACTTTGATGTACTTGGGTGCCCTTTCCTCCTCTGAACCCTGGCATCCCTCGACCTCTACCGCGCTCAGCACCTGCCGCGTGGCAGGCACCAGGCCGCGGCCGCGGCCGCAGCGGCGGCCGCCGGGGGCAACCCTTGCCACGCGGCAGCTGCGGCAAGGTGGAGGCCAAGCGCTGCTGGCCACGAGGCTGTTGTTGTTTCTCCTCTTGGGTGAGCCTTTATTATTTTTCCTCCTGCAAGCTCTGCAACAGTTCTTGTGGCGACATGAACTCTCGCTGATTGAACTCACTGTGAGCCCTCAGCGCTGCCTGCAAAAGAGCACGCCAGAACACGAGCCTTCCTGGGAGCGTCTGTGGACCTCCGCGGCCATGGCATAAACGTGAGCTCGGCCGGATGGCCTCCAGATTTCGACCGCCCTTCCTCACAGTTTCGTCCAGAGCTCGCCCAAAGTTCGTTAAGATGTCGACCCAATCCGACGAAATCTCGACGAAATCCAAAAGACCGCAAGGACTTCTGGAGCCATCTGAGGCTCTCGTGAAGGACCACACAAAACCTATGGCGCGTAACGGCCGTCATCCGCCAACCCCCCTCCCAGGCGGGACGGGAAAACGACCACAACCACTTCTTCTTGTTTGCGCCGCCTTCAAGCCGGCCGCAAAAGAGGCAGTGGTTGTGGTCATTTTCCTGGTGCCAAGCTTCACGGAAATGATCACAACCACTGCTTTGCTTCTGCTGGCTGGACGGCGGGAACAGAAGAAAAGCAGTGGCTGCGGGGCCCCAACCCTGCCTCCCCCAGGGTAACGGCAGCTGCGCGGAGGTGACAGCAGAGAATCTCCGCGAGGGCACCCCCTTCGCCGGCGCCTGCTTCGGAGGCCATGGTCGTGATCGTGGGAGTCGCGGCGCCATGGGAGGGCACCACTTTGCTGTAGCTGTCGTCGCGCGCGGCCCTGCCGCAAGAGGAGGGGTGGGCGGGAGCAGGGGGAGGAGGAGGAGGAGGAGGAGGAAGCGAGGAGGGGGAGAAGACGAAACGGGCGCAGGGGCAGAGGAGCGATTGGAAGGATTCTTAGAGGCTCTGACAGGTTTTTGCTGTTCCTTGGGAGGGCGGGAGAGGGAGGGATTTCCAGTTATTCAGGGAGCGCTCAAAAGTCCTCGGGGGCTTCTGCAGATCGGAGCTACAGGAATGAACGGAGAAGGACGAGGAGGAGGAGGATCAGCCTCCTTTTATCCGAAACTCTCTGAGGATTCCCAAATCATCCAACAGTTCAAGGACGCCTGTGAAATTCTGGGGGGTCCCAAGGGGAAGGAGGCAGAAGAGGAGGAATCCACCGGCGCCCCCGGGACAAGGGGCCCCGCCTGAGAAAAGAAAAAACATAGGACTATGGTGCTCCCATCGTACTGACAGACCACATTCCAGAAATAATTTCGAGCACCCGGAAAAGTGTCGAAAGAGTGTCGAAAGAGTGTCGAGAGTGTGTCGAAACAATGTCGGACGAGTGTCTCCCAGGGCCCGACGCGTGAAAACCCTAGAGTTTTGGGGCACTTTTCTGGCGCTCGAGGTTTTTTGGGGTGATCAAGGCTAAGCAGGTTGGAACATGATAAACATAGGAGGAGGACGAGGAAACCTGACGCTGCCCGAAATCGCCACGCATCGACGGAATGCACGGCGACCGAGCGGGCACAGCACAACCTCTGCGAATTCGCCGGGCCCCGGCCTCGACCCCATCGGGGGGGTCACGGGCGCAAGGCCGCAGCCCTGGCGAACCGCGGGCTGCGGGACAGCAGGCAGCCACTGCCATCAGGTCGGGCCTGTCCCCCTACAGGGGGATTTTCGACGAAATCTAGAAAATAATAAACAAAATGCTCAACAAAAATACCCAAAAATATTTCAAACATCGTCCCCGGACTATTCCCCCTCTATAGAGGGACAGGCCCGACTTAACACTACCTCATCGAAACCACACCCCGGGGGGATGTCTTGCGCACGACCACGAAGTGCGGGAGCACCGAAATCGGCCTCGCACTGGTTGTGGTCGATGTGGCGGCGTCCCAGGACGGCCAAATCGACCACCACCAACACCAAAGCGCTCATGTCGGGGCCGGTAGACTCTCCCACGAGGGGCCCACCCGAAAAATCCGCTCAGCTGTGATTGTCTTCCTTTGTTGCGCCCAGGCAAGGATCGGGCGTGGGCAGAGCTGGGTTTGGTGGGTCCTGGTTTCGTGACCTGGTTTCGTGATGTGCACGGGGGGACGCCCCCCCCCCCCAGCCCCGCTCCACTCACCAGAACCGCCGTCACCCGAACAAAAACGCCAGCTGCGGCAGACCTGGTTCACTGATGCTGGCCAATGTAAGGGCTCCGGGGCCCTACCACTAACCTCAGGTCGGGCCTGTCCCCCTACAGGGGAATCTTGGGCGAAAAACTGCACAGAGTCAAACATTACTCAACAGTGATCAAAAATACTCGAAAAGTCGTCCCAAGACCGTCTTCTTTGACTACTTCTGAGTTTTTTCCCCCTGCAGAGGGACGAGGCCCGACTCGACACGAACCGGCCATGCACGATTCCTCGCCGCGCCCAGGCAGGGAGGCGAGCCACCACGCCCCGCGCGCGCACCGTGGGCCCCGCCGCGCCGCGATCCACACACAGAGGTCGCCCCGCGCCGCCCGGGAGGCTGCCACCCCGGAAGACAGGCACGCCCAAGGGGGGGGGGGGCGACGCGCGGCGCCCGCGAGGCTCCCGAGGGGAGCGCGAAGACCCTGACCCTCCAGGAGGGCCAGCAAAAACACCAGGGCACCGACGTCCCGATTCCCCTCGAGGTTCTGGGCGGGCCGGGCAGGTCTGGAGGTCTGGACTGCTGCTTGTCAGCACTCTGCAGGGTCAGGGGCGAGGGGCCTGTTTTCCACCACCACCACCACCAGTCGGAGGGGGGAGGGGGTCCTCCTCCCCTCGTCGTCCTCCTCCTCCTCCTCCTCCTCCTCCTCCTCATGCTCCTCCTCCTCCTCCTCCTCCTCCTCCGCCTCCGTCCCCCCTCCAGCCTGTGGCGGTGGTGGCGGAAAACGGGCCCATCCAAGCGAGGTCACCTGGCACGCCGTTGCCGCTGCGGTGGATGCGCAAGTAGGGGAACGAACACCGACATAAACGTAAAAAACCAGAGAACCGCGCGGATTCCTCGGATCGGCGCTGGAGCCCACCGGCGGCGCCTCCGGCGCCGCTCCTGGCGCGCTCCGCGCGCCAGGAAGGGGGGTCCAACGCTGATCCGAAAAATCCGCGCGGACCTCAGATTTGTTCTGCTTATGTCGTTCTTCGTTTCCCTAGCCAGATCGCGCGCTTCTTACTTATTGGCTGCGCCAGGAACCTCGCGGCCCCCGCATCTGTCGGCGAGGCCGCGCCTGCTCCTGCCGGCAGCGTGGCCGAAAAGGGTCGCGCAGCCCAGCAGATGAACACCAGACGGCCATCCTGCTTCGTGCGCATCCGCCCTGTCGAAGAGCGGAGCTGCCAAGAGGTGATGCCCATCCACTTCCACGGGCGCAAGGCTTGGCTTGGGAATGGGCACCAACACCAGCACGGGGGGGTGCCTCCACAGGGGGAACACGTTCCTCGATTTCGGTGTTGGTGGTGATCTTTCGGCCACCTAGGAAGCCCAAATATTGCCACCATCACTGAGATCGGGATCAGCTTCCCTCGGTGGAGGCGCACCGCCGATATTTGGGGAGACAAAAAGGTACCAATACCGCTACTCCCCGGACCTCTCCTGGGGTGCGTTCTGACCAGGATTCCGACGAGAATCCAGCGGTGGCAACGAGGGCCTCCCAGGAGGCCCAGAAAGGGAAAAACGAGGCAAGGGTAGAGGTATGGGTACCTTTTCCTCCTCTGAGATATTGGTGTTGGTGTCAAGCTCTAGGCCTCCGACAGGCGGTGCCAAGGCTGGCCGTCGGGCCCGCCGACGCGGGTCGCCGTCGGAGGGGCGTCCGCGCTGCCGCGAGGCCGCCGACGCGGCACGTCGCGTGCGCACTGCACCCACGACGGGCGGCGTGGAGGCCGAGGTCGATGGCCGTGCTGGCACCGTCTGGGCCCGGCCGAGGGCAGGCTGCCCTGGCCTTCACGCCGGGGAAGAGCAGAGAACAGCACGTGTGATCTCGGCGCCCTATTGTTGGATAGTTTTTAATATATATATATATATATATATATATGTATATATGATTGCTGATCTCCGGAAACGGTTCCGCGCGCTCTCGCCTCGACGCCGGCTACATGTTCGCTGAAAACGAAGCTCCCGCTCGAGCGTTGGCCTGACCCTAAATGTGGGCCCTTGGAAGCCCAGCTACGACAACAACGGCTCCCGAGACACCCGAGCCAGGACACCGAGACACCCTGGCCACCCTGAGACACCCTGGCCAGCCTGAGACACCCGAGCCACCCTTCCTCACAATTTACCCCGAGACACCCTGGCCAGAGAGGCCCCCGAACTCAGGAACGGCGCTCTCGCTCGAGGCTTCCTCGCAATTCGATTAAGTTGGCGGAGGCCACACCTCGACAAGGGCTCCTGCTCGACAATTCCTCACGATTTACTCCGACAGCCCCTGGCCAAGAAGGCCCCCGAACTCGGGAACTGTGCTTTCGCTCGAGACGTCCCCTAATTCAGGCAAGTTGGTGGAGGCCCAAACACGGCGACAAGGGCTCCCGTTCGATATTTCTCCATAGGTATTCCGAGAGCCCTGGGCCAGACAGGCTTCCGAACTCAGGAACGGAGCTCTCGCTCGAGACTTCTTCGCACTCCAGTCAGTGGCCGGCAAGGAAGAGATTCCCCCCCAAAGGGGGTGCAATCGAAGACGAAATGGGAGGGTATCGAGGGTTGGGGTATACGGAATGCAAGACACGCGTGTCAGAAAGAGCGAACCGTCTTAAAATGATTGTTGTTGTTGATGCTGTTGTTGCTGTTGACTTCTCACGACTGAGGAACAACTATTGCTCATTCCCCCCCCTCGGGTGACCATTGTGTTTTTCAATTGAAGTGCTTCCCCCGGGGCTCGCACCCTGTTTTTTAGCAGGAAAAGTCACTAGTAGGCTGAATATGCGCCCCTGGCCCCCGAACCACTACAACAACGGCAGTCTGGATTCGTATATGTTTAAGTCGGGCCTGTCACCACACAGATGGATTTTGGACGAAAAGTAAAACATAATCAGACAAATCCTTAGAATACTCAAAAATGATCCGAAAATCGTCCCCAGACTATTTTGACTATTTTTGAAGATTCCTCCTGTAGAAAGCCTGTAGAAGGACAGGCCCGACTTAAGTGTACGTCCGTGTCTGTTGGTGTTGTCTTGCCCGCTCGGGCCCTCGTGCCGACACCCGAACCAGCAAGCCGAGCGAGCAGCGGACACTGCCGCGCTGCCGGCAAGGTGTTCCTGACGGGGCCCTGGAACACACAAATAGATACACACAACTATCAGGATTCCCCTATATTTTCCCATATTTCCTAAGTTTTTGTATTCCCCCGCACTTCCCATATTTTCCTATATTTTCGGGGAACTCGACGATGAATTGCGTCTGTGATTTTTGTCCCTCCTGAGCCGCGCTGTCGGCAAGGTGGTCTGCCCTGCCTGCGGCAAGCCCCTGCTGGGTCGGCAACGCTCGCCGGCAGGGGGCACGCAGGTCCTGACCTGGCCAGCTGCGAGGCCACGATCGCCACTCGGGACCAGCAGGGGCCAAGCAGCAAAATACGCTCGGCACGACAAGCTGAGAGGGTCTGGCGCAGGAAGACGTGTCGCGCCGGCGAGCCACTTCCCCTTCAGGGGCAAGAGATGCAAGGAAGAGGGAAGGAACGGAAGATAGGAACAAGGAAAGGCGACACCAACACCAACAGGGCGAGGATATGAGAGGAGCAAGGGGGGCCTCCCTGGTGGTGTGGTCCCCCCCTCTCGCTCGAGACATCCCCAGCCTCCAGCTCGG